TCGAGCGGCCAGCACAGGCCGCGAGGACCCACAACCCGACAACAATCCATCTCAGCTGTGGTTTGCTGTGAAACGTGGTCGTTTACGTGTCGAACTGCGAGGAGAAGCAGAGAGCAAAAAAGCCCCCCTTGAGGGGATTTTGGGGGTGAGCCCTAAACCTTAATTGAGACCAGTTGGGGTGGTTGCGGCGGGACTACATGCCGACACAAGCGCGCGATGAGTGGGTGCGCCGCGCGCCCGATTCCTAAAGTAAAAGGCGCACCCAGCGCTCGCACAACGTATACAGACCTTAAGCCTTAAACCCCAAACCCCCAAAGTATGGCTTGCAGCCGCTCCAAAGTCCATGTAGGCCTGCTTCCTCGGTAGCAGCGTAGTCGTCTGACATTGGGCTGAAGAAGTGATTTGGTTCACGTTCTTAGGGTTTAGGGTTTAGGGTTTAGGATTTAGGGTTTAGGGTTCCTTCTGCAAGCTGCATTTGCGACTATAGCTGCTAAACACAACAGCCTGACTGCCCCCAAGTCGAGTCGAGGCCGTGCCGTCATTGTCTGACGAATCTCACGGGACACCTGCGTGCAATTATTTCGCAGGTTGTTTTGTGGAGTGTTGCCCGAAAGCGTGGAGGAACCAGGGTTTCAGGGTTTCCAGGTTTCCAGCGAAAAGACTCGGCATTCATGACCCAGGGTTTATGGCTTAGGGTTTAGGGGGTTTGGCGGTTTAGGGTTTAGGGTTTGCATTTCGGGTTCAGGGTGTTGGGTGTCGAGATTAGGATGTTTGTGACGTAACTAAGTTAAATCTAGAGCCTGACTTCCAAGTGCGGCGAAATCGAAAGCCATAAGACGTTAGCATGGAGTGGAGCCCCACTGCATACGTACACCTTGATAGATCTGAAATCCCAACGCACCGAGCCCCAAACCCCAAAAACAATTTACGGAGACCCTGGCAGGCATCCCTCATAGAGATCTTATGGAACCCTGAAATCACCCTAAACCCAAAGCTCCAAACCTCAAACCCAAATCCTTTTCCAGGAATCTTTCGCGCGTGCTGGGCAGGATGTCAATGGCAGGTCCAACGTTTCAGAGGGACCCCAAAAACCCTAGTATAAACAGTTCCGCTAAGGGGTTGCGTAGGGGTTGCTATGGTAGCTTCAACAGTTCTATACAGGTTTAGAGTCCAAAGCTTTTGGTTCGGTATAGAAGCCTGAGTTACTACCAATATCATTGCTTGGGTTCCTAGCTACAAGTATACTATATGATACCCAAAACTCCAAGGCTCAAAGGTCCTTAAACTCTCAACTATCCGCCCTAAACCCTTATCCCTAAGCCCGGCCGGCGTCTCCAAACTCTAAACCCTCAACCCTAAACCCTAAACCTAAACTTATAGATCCCCATTTATGAGGAACCCTTAAGAGATCCCTTATAGATCCCTTCTACGGCCTTAAGCCTCAGCAACTATGCCTGCCAGGCCTGTTGGGCTTCATCATACGACGTCAGGACTCTTACTGCAAGGGGTGCTGTGAGGTTCATTCTATCGTCGGTTTAGGGTTCAGGGTTTAGGGTTTAGGGATTAGGGTTCATTCTATCGGTCACTATAATATACTATGATGAGGCTTACGGGGTATGGTGTATGCTATTGCTAATACCTCTTGGAGTTCAGGGTTCAGGGTTTAGGGTTTAGTCTAGGACATTTTCAGGTGGGTAAGTTACCGTTATAGGAGCCTTATAGAAGGTCTATATACCTTATAGAAGCCTTATAGAAGCCCTATAGACCCTAAACTCCACCAGTAAATTCCTTGAATCCTATCGGGGACTATAATATACCCATGATGAGGCTTACGAGGCATGGCTTTTAGGCTATTGCAAATACTATTACTATTAGGGTTACTATTACTAATACTATTACGACGTACTACTATCATTGGCTCGGATGCCATGTAAACGCGCAAAACCGACATGCCGATTCCATTGGTATTTACGGTGTTTGCCTGCCTTCATGTGCCGAATATATCGGTGGCATCGGCGTTCCCGGCGCCTCCGAATTCACGAATTCTGCAACTGCCGAAACCCTCGGTAATGGCGGCGTTTCCTTTGCTTGCAATACCGAAACTACATCCAATGCCCAAAACCTCATGACGTCCATGGTCTGACCCGTTTTGACAACAGAGCATCCATGCCCAAAACCTAATGATCTGATGTGCCCAAAACTCGCAGCTTCAGGGGGCTCGACAAGAAAGCCTGCTGGTGACTAGTGTTTTGTACTCCCTCACGAGGGGTCCTTCGTAAGTGTAGGTGTACTTGCCCTCTGAGCAATTCCTATGCTCGTTGCTTCTGCGTCTACTCCGCGCATGACCGTCATGCTCCCGTTCAAGGTTGTGTTGTAGGAAGTGCTTTTTGTCCCACGCAGACACGAAACAACACCACGTTAAGCATAAACGCACGTTTCTAAAATTTGCGTCAAGCGTTTTCACACTTGTCTTACGGCAAGGGTTCCGGCGGAAAACCGAAGCAAAGGCTACGCAAAGCAAATTCGCCAACTCAAGTGAGTTTTGTCCCACACAGTCCGCGTAAAACCCATATGGAAATTTCCAACTCCGGTTTCTGTACTATGCGTGTGGATTCCAATGGTCCAGAATGGCTCAAGGTCCAGCGGTTGGATTTTTCGAACCACCGCCTGTGGTTGTTTCCCGCCAATGCAAACACCTTCCGCTCAGACGGACCCTGCTTCGCAAAGGATTTGAATCAGATCCTGCAAGAGTCTAAGTCTAGATAAACCCCAACAAACCAAGACTCCCAAGATCTCAAAAACACACAGCCGTACAAGTAGACACCAGAACCGCTGCGAAACCGCACACCCCCAGATCGTAACACCCCCACCCGAAAAATCCATACAGACTTAGGCCCCAAAGTTACCAGTGGTTTGTCTTTTTCAGTACTTGGACAAAAATTTCTGCATCGATCCTGCTTCCAGAGGAGCTTCTAGACTCGGCTGGCCGGCTGGTGGCCCGCAATCGCATTCGGGAGCTCTGCAGGGTGGAGATGAGAGTTTGCGAAACAAGTAAAGGATTCCATTGTGGAATACTGTGGATTAAATACTGACCCGAACCCCCCTCTGTGTATTTGATGGCCAAGTGTAATCTCTAGTTAAAGTGTTCAGAGTTTGGGCCATTGGGTTCAACTGAAGTTGGTGGACGGCATACCTGGCTCTTATACTTATACACTTTGAGACCAGGCACCATCAACTCGAAACTCTACTCCGCTTCGGGCCAGAGACCGAAGCGGGCCAGAGAGTCTAGTCTGGAGAATTTCAAGCAGAAGGCTTTCGGGTCTAGTTATTAAAACATCAGGCACAGAATTCTGCCCTGAATTCTCAAGCAGGCGCAGACTTTCGGCCCAAAACCCCGCAAACTCTAAACCCAAGAATCTCTAGAAGAAGTATTTGAGAAGACAACACCACACAAGGAGGTCCCACAAACTCTACTTGTTTGAAGTGTGCGCCTGAACTCCCTGCTGGCACAACTAAAACGCTTGAATGAACTTTTGCCCTGAAACCTCGAAGGAACACCTAAAGCACAGGACTACTACTCTGGAAGTTGGGTGGCTATTAGCTCCTTGGCCTTGCATATGGAGCCCCTCAACAAACCCTTGATGTTAAAGGATTTAGGGTTCCTTTAAAGGTTTGAAGTCTGGTACCGTACAGTTGGCCTGGTAAGTAGATTATCAACAGGGTTCTCAGCAAGGAAAGTCCAACAAGGGATTTTAAAATTCACATGCAAAATACTTAATGACTCCCTTCAGCTGCATGTAACTGGCGAGGGTCCCAGATGTAGCTGCGCACGACTACGGCTGCTGAAGCTTCTATGGATCGTGAAGGAATGGACGCTAGGCTCCCCAAGCCCGAAGCACTTAAACCGGAATTAAGCTTGAAACAGTCGCGGATATGGTGAAGTAGAGCAGCCGGGTTTTCATCACCATCGGGACCCTTCCGTCTAGTTGCTCGTTAGACTCGCAGACTCGCGGCCTGGAGTATTCTGTAAGTGTGGTTGATACTCTTCGTAGCATCGCTCTTGCATTAGTTGTGTTCTTGTTCTTCTTTTTGGTGTTTTTCGCAGTGATCCCTTCACACGAATAACCTCAAGCAGAAGCCCCAAGAGAAGACTCAATGGGGGCGCTTGCGCGTTGTGTCATGAAGGGGGGGGGGTCTGTGATGTCGGATCCTACTCGTAGGTTGTCTGCACTCATCCTGCAACCCCAAATCCTGTCTAGACCAAGGCAGCCCAAAGGTCTCCTGGATGTTTGACGGGCTGCAGCCTTCTTGGACCTAGGCACCATGACTCTCAACGGCGACCTGGCGCAAGCCGCTGCGAATGCCAAGATCGGTCAAGCAGCACGCTCCCGCCCGTCGCCGGTAAAGTTGATCTCTTGAGTCTCGGAGGCCGGGCTTCAGTGCAAGAGCGTGGAGCGAGGATGTACATAAGATGCGCATCTATTTTGTAATGACCACATGGACCCTACAATCACTTACGGTCGCATAAAGCCTCATAGACTTGAAGGAAATTTCGTCTTTACAAATTGGCCGCCACCTTATCCGCATCAGCAGAAGTAGGTGGGCAACGAGGTAGGGCTGAAGGAGGGGGAAGAGGAGGACGAGGAGGGGGAAAGGGAGGAGGAGGAGGAGTGGAACAACGAGCCCCAGCAGCAATCGCTGTCGTTGCAGTCACTGACTTCATCAGTGATTAGCTGCAGTTATGTGCTTCGTCGTTCGCGGGACATGCTTGATCGACACATCAAGAGCCGGGGAAGGGTAGGATTTCCTGCAGTAGCTTGGCAGCCTCCAGACAATGTCGGCTTCTTCAACGGTTGTGGGAATGACGCAGGGGTTTGAGTTTCCAGAGGTTGCCCTGCAAAGAGCAGTCGTTAATATTGTAAGACGGGAAACCAGTACTATGCTGGCCGTGCTCACGAAGCTCCAATGGCACTATGCAAAATGCCCCGAGTCGGAGAAATCGTGCAGTGAAAGCCTAGAAGTTTTCGATGAAAACTTGACATCCTTCAGAATGGCCGTGGTACAGAATCCTAGGCGGTTTCACGAAAAGTTTTGTTACTTGGTAAAAAAAGTATATGTATATGCATACATATATGTATATAAAATTGTATTCTTCAGGGGGGCAACATACGTTCAGTTTGAAACAGCTTTCCAAAGCAGCTACTGATCGATGGGCTGAAGCCCTCTCCTTTGTAACTGTGCTTGAGAACGAACAGGAGCGGCTCAGGCGGCGCATCGAAGAAGTTGCCGCCAAAGTTGGCAGCACCTCAGATCCCAAAACTGCACGGATCCAGAAAAACACAAGTTGTATCCGGATCTGAAGCTCTTTTTTCTCGAAAGCCCTATGTTCGAGGGGCTGATGAAAGGCCTGGCCAAGTTGTAAGTAAGGTGTCTTGTTGGCGGTGGCACCGTGGCCTGCTTCGTTTTGGCTGCCCTTGCTCTACTCGCAGCCTGCGGTATAGTCACCTTGCTTGCTGGCACTGTCGTGAGCACACTGCATGCCGTCACGATCACAACGGAAGTCGCAACCTATTCGCATACTCCTACCCTGCAGCGGCACAGTTTTCTGTGCATTGAGACTGCCCGAACTTGCTCAATTTCTCCATTCCTCGAGCTGCTCGGAGAACTGGAAGACGTGAGCGTGTCGGCAGTTCGTGCATGGTCTTCCCACTCGAATCTCAGCGCATGGAGCGCCCGATCGTGCCGAAGAGCACTTCGAGTTGTTCCTGGAGTGTGCAAAGCCAATCTGCCAAACCGAACAAAGGACCTGGACAAGATTCTTGTGAACTGTGAAACTACACAAATTTGCTGACGAACCCGGGGGAGCTCGTACAAGGCCGCCTCCAACAGCAGAAAAGAAGGGGAGTGCATGCGCTGCTCTGCCAGCTGGAGGCTCGCTTGCAGGTCTTGCGCGACCATTCCCAGATGGTGGAGGCAAACTTAAAGCTGCAGCCATCATCAGCTTTGACAAGCACCGACAATTCTGAGATGCTGACGGGTATTGCCCCGAGAGACGAAGCTCCGAACTGCATCCTCGAAGCCATCGCTCGCGCCGTCGTCAGAAGAAGCTGCGAAAGGGCATCCCGGTTTTTGTTTCAGCACTCTTGGAGATTCGAGGTGCGCCAACTGACACGTCCGCTTGTTTGTTCAGTCACGATTCTGTCTCCGAGCACGTTTCGTGAGATAAGGCGTCCAGCTCGGCCAGGCATCCTAACCGCGGCGGAGACTCTTTGCATTCGCAATGGCCTCGGCAAGCGCATCGGGCAGCAGGGCATTGCTTCGCGGTCCTGAATCATGAAGCTTACTGCCACGAGCTTTCAATGATTCAATGCTTGTGATGCAACTGCGTTCTGGCGGGAGTATGCGGGAGTGACGCAGTGACAATGTCACCTACTGTACTGACGTAGCCGCGTGCTGCTTTGCGGTGTTGCTCGTGCTTCTTCCCAGACATGCCAGTATCCCTTCTATCTGTGGCTCCTCATGTAGGGGCTTCTGCTTGAATTCAAGAGTCTGAGCTCGGCAGAGTGCGGACACGTCGCGTCTCAAATCTTGGACCAATCAAAGCAACAGGCGGTTTGCTTCATTTTGTATATAGATGTTTTTGGCTCTATGGGCTATCTGGTAGGAAGCCCCCGAGGTAAAAGGGAGGTGAGGACCAGCGCCCTCAGCCCTTCTTAGTTCCATTGCCCTGGTGAGAGTTTGATTCATTAGTAAGTCCCAAACCTGTAGGATCCTTATGAGGATCCTCAGACAAAAGCCCCTGGGCATTGACTTCTGCCCGGCATCATTCGGCTTCTGGACGCCCTTTGCTCGCATCGGCAGTTTTTCACACGAAGAACTTACACAAGGAGCCCTGCATAAAAGCGGCTGTTGGGATCGCTGCGGAAATCTTCTATGCTGCGAGTTGCTTGTATTCTTCACCCTGCCGATGCAAAGAGGAAGGCTGGCATGCAGTATGCTAGGTGAGAGGTGGAAAAGGTCCCGCAGAGTTTGTGACAGATTGTGCGAACATGCCTCGTCTGGTCCCTGCACCATGCACCAGCGCTTTATCTCCAGCTGCCTTGCTGCAGGCGACGCAGCCTGCATGGTGAGAGATTGCATGCGTGTGATGCAGCTGACGAACGTCAGCAGCCAAAGTGAATTCGGTTCATGCACGGGTGCCAGGCATGAACAGGGCTCTGGGTATCCAGAGACAGGGTTGGAAACTGCTCGTACCAGTTTCACAGACGCTTGCCTCAACACTCAACTCTGAACCCTGAACCACCTCGCACCGTGAGTTTTGTTCACCGTGGAGCACAAACCTCAACGGTGAGGGCAAAGAGCCCCTCTCTCCGAGATGTCCGAGCCTCTTTTGGTTTAGGTATTAGAATCAGCATTACCTGAAAGTCCATGGTTAGATGGTTTGCTTCGCTATGCGGCTTGAAACAAAAGCTTGTGAATGAATGTACCTCCCTCTCCAACAAAGGCCATTATAGGTTCAGCTGTAAAGGACTTCACCTCGAAACCTGAAACACCATTCGTAGGGTGGGTGGTCGAAGTTACGGCTGTCGGGTCCGTTTACAAACATGCTGACACCGGACTAGCACCTTGAACCTCATAAGCTTTAAATGGGCGAAGCTGAACCTCTAAGTTGCCATAGTATGGAAAGCATACTACCATAAGATCCCCAATCTGGATGACGGTTACCCGTTCGAAATCACTTGGCGAGAATCCAGCTGTGTACTGAAGCAGTGGGTGATGTTGGGCCTGACAGGCTCGTTGATTTTGGAGTTAATGGGGTGTGCCTTACAGAAGCCCGCCGAGCATTGGACCTCGCAATCAATTGCAGTCCTTTTGCCGCAGCGTGTGCTTTAGACTTTTGCGGCCGAAACGGTCGAATCTCTCAAGACGTGCGTGAAAACCTGTGTTGAAAGGGTAACATGTCAAGGAGACCTTGAGAACAGCTGGTCAGCTAGTCAGGTTCCACTTATGCAGAGCCCTGGGACTGCGAGTAATGCAGCACTTCTTCGTTGAGCTTCCTGCAGCTTTGCCTGCATGTTGTGCAGCGTTTCATCCTTTCCTAGGCAGGACTAGTGACTAATGAGACAACATGTGATTTTCCTTTGGCAATAGCACTGCAGGGTTGAGAGGTCATATGCAGCCTCATGAAGAAGATGAGGTAGATGATGATAGACGGGGTGGTCGACGATGATGGTGTTGCCGATGTCGTTGATGATGACCGCTGGTCACTGGCATCACATGGATCATCATGAGCAACTCCTAAGTCTCACAATCAGAAGTGTTTTCAAATCGTCATCGTTCTGGCAGCCTCTCCCGAGACGTCCAAACACAACATCCGGAACCTGCAACCCCAAACCCTTGGATCCTAGTTGAATCCTCAACCGGCTTGTTGGAAGCATCCAGGTCGGGGAAGGCCCCTTCCTCCGAGTTCCGAGCGCTCTCCAAGGCTGGAACATGGAATGCCGTCAAGCCTGTCAAGAAGTCACACACACCTCAAGCCCACAACCATCCGCAACCCTAAATGCCAACTAACTTCGACGCTCGAACCCCTACGCAAGCCCCAATGCTTAAACACCGTAGAGAAGACGCAAACCCTGAATCCCACACCCTAAGTCCCAAAACGCCTTAAATCCAAAACCCCAATCCTTCAATGTCGAAATCAGGACCAACACTTACTATCCGCATCCCGAGGGCAAGAAGCCCTGGGTCTTTGCGACGGACCTACTCAGGGCTTTCGGGTTGTGGCCTTGCTTCTGATTGTTTCAGGAAGATTAGGTTTGCCGGATTTGGGGTTCAGGGCTTGGGGCTTAGAGTAGCGGCAAGCGTGTATGGCTCAGGCTTGGTGCTAAAGTAGGCAGAAACCCGTTACGAGACCCACGACAATCTGTTGTCAGGTTTCAACAACTAAGGCTGACCAGAACTCTTCAATCAATCTCGGGCTCTATCATTCCAAACGTTTCGGGACGAGAGGAGGCCCGGCACCACCAGGACCTCAGCGGACCACAACGACAACCACCACAATGACCAGGAACACTGGGACGACGAAGATACCACCAGGAGACCGCAAGAAGGCCATGAAGAGACCACCAAGAGACCGCCCAGGGAACACCAGGATTGGCAGGACCAGCAGGGGACCGCGAAGCACGACGGAAGGCAACGGCCTCAAACCCTTAAGAGTCCACACATAGGAGCCCACACGGACGCTCACAGTGTGGCCCTGCTAGAATTTGAGGTGCTTCGAGCGTTGTTGCGCCCGAGAGGCCGGATAGCGTGGCCCCGCCGGGTCAGTAAACCGAGCGCTTCGTGGGCGAAAATGGTTCCAATGTATTGGAGTCGCATGTCCTCAGGAGACCAAGCCCATAAACTCTAAGGACAGGTAC